CACCAACTGCTGTTGCTGAGGGATCAGTTTGTAGACACCTTGGACAGTCCACAACTGAAGATATAAGTAAAGCAAGCACACCCCTCTACTATGCAGTATGCAATGGCCAGAGCTCTTTAATTCAAATCCTATGTTAAGTCCAGTGCAGAAGTACCAAGGTTGGTACAGTTATCAGGATTCAAGGTCAGAAAAGGGCAGCTCTCACAGAAGTTTGAGGGACGTTGCTGGTACTGTAACAAACCTGGGCACAATAGAACTCAATGCCAGCAACTTCAACACAGGGAAGATGCCATGGCAGGAAAGGCTGCTACCCAGAAAGGCTGTTGGAACTGTGAAGAGCAAGGACATATGAGAAGGCAGTGTAAGAAGAATACCACCAATAGGTCAGCTTAGGGAAACCAGAAGCTCGAATGGACAGTTTCTTGCCAGCATGCTTTTAAGTCATTGAAAGAAAAGTGGCTGTTATTTCAGAGCATTGTGTAAGAAGACCATGAAACGTTTCTTCATGAAGAAGAAGGAAAGTGGAGCTGAAGGACAGAAGAGACGAAAGTTAGAGGCAGAGGAAGCCAAAAGGTCGAGCAAGTTGTCCATGCACTTCTTTGAAAAGCCCGGAACAAGTAGTTTGACATATTCCATGGAGTCACCTGCATCAGCTACAAGTTTGTTAAAATCTGAGGAAAATCAAGTCATAGAGAACGTGGACATGGCAGGAGGGGAAGACGATGGTGGTGGTGATGTTGAGTTAATTGACGAGATTTTAATCTGACGAGATTGAACCTAGTGAACTAGATGGTGTCGAAGAGCCTCGAACTGTCATACCAGAAGTGATTGAACAGCATGACATTGGAATCTGAAGTTCGACAAGGATACTGGAAAAGCAATTCTGCTCGACATGTTGAGAACAGAAATAATAAAGCTGGGTTCGGAGTATTTCCAGAACAGTGAGGGCCTTTCCTACCAACAAATAACTGCTCAATAAACAAAACTTGGTTCAAGAGGAAATTTAGAAATGGTCATGGTGAGGAAGTGATTTGCTCATGACTGGTCTATTCCCCTTCTAAAAAGTCTGCATTT